TCAGGTCTGTTTCTTTTCCAGTACCATGCTTTTTTATCACAGTAGCTTTGTAGTATAGTTTCAAGTTGGGGGTTGTAATACCACCTGCCATGTCTCTGTTACCTAGAATTGCTTTTGCTATTCTGGGTCTCTTCTTTTTCCAAATGAATTTTTGGATTGTTTTCTCAAGGACCATGAAGTATGCTGCTGGGATTTCAATTGGGATTGGATTGAATCTATACAGCAATTTTGGAAGTATAGCCATTTTCACTATGTTGGTCTTTCCTACCCAAGAGCAAGGGATGTCTTTCCATTTTATGATATCCCCTTCAATATCTTTTTTCAAAGTGCTAGAGTTTTCAGAGAAGAGGTCTTTGACTTCTTCTGTTAGGTTGATTCCTAGTATTTCAGTTTTTGGGGTGCTATTGTGAAAGGAATCATTTGCCCTATTTCTCTCTCAGTGACTCTGTTTTTCATGTAGAGGAAAGCTATCGATTTTTGTGTGTTGACCTTGTATCCAGCTACTTTACGTGTAATACAAATTTTAAATAAAATTTAAAAAGACAGACAAATGCATTACCAGTGAACAAAACATCAGATGAACAAGTCCAGACAGAAATGATTTCATGACATTTAAAATGCATATAATATTGCATACTAATACAAACCCTAATAATGTGAAATTTATATTTCACAAATTTTACAAAATGCAAAAAGCAAAATTATTTTTACAAAATACAAAAATTTTATGAAATTCATTTTAATAAAAATCTCTTATTTGCCAAATAGAAGATAAAGGGGCATCTTTTAAGGACATCATAATAAATAAGGTGCACCTTGAACCATTAAAGTTGATTGTGGCTGGGACTCTGTGACAAGGCCAGTGTGCCATTTCAGAGGCAGTCACATCACTCCCCACAAGCCTCTTCCTATCCATGGCCAGTGTGATATATGTACTGACTTGTGTACATCTTCCTGGTTTTATTCTTTTATATTAGTGCAAAAACGACTAATGTTTTAACAAAATGAAACTAGTTCTTCTTTTCAATCTTTGATGATAATTTTCAGAGGCAAACATAAATTCCTTTGCCCACGTTTTAAAAACACTTCCATATTGTTAGGCTTTTCAATTTATAACTCAAGGTAAAAAAGCAACAACAAACCACCAACAACAACTGCCGAGGTATTCTTATCATCACATCTGCATTCAGTGGTGCTGTCATGTTCTTCCTGTGTTCCCTGCTGAGGTCAGTCAGCCAAGGCGGGGGTCAGATAATAAGAAGCAAGACTGCCTTCGGCATTCTTCTTTCCATCACATGCCTCTATGACTTCTTCACCTGCTCTCCCTGAAGCATACTTTGGTATCCCCACCCCACTCTTCCTCACATTTTAATGAGGCTCTGTGCTTGCTTGTGTGGCCAACACATTTTCACATCAAAGCTTAAGTTAGCTTCTAATGTCTGCTTGAACTTCTAGGTCAAGATACTGTTCTTTTAAATACAGTTCTCTTCAATTTTTTAAATCACATTCCTTTTAAGAGATAACTAAAGGAAGTGGTGATGTTTACAAGTATTTTTTCCAGAAGTTATATTTTTTATTACCTTATAAATGTTATGTTTAAAAGACAATATATTTTAGGTCAGTTTTGGATTCACGAAAAAATGGAGAAGAAGGCACAGAGATGTCCCATACACCCTCTGCCCCGACTGTCAATATCCCTGAAAATATTTTTTAAAAACAATTATGTTTAAAATATCTCTTGTTTCCTTTGTTGTCAAACGAAATGTAAAAATTGCTGGTAAGAATGCATCCATTCTAATCCAAATGAATATTCACAAATGAGGTACTGCAAAAAACAATATTATTCTAGTTTGCAGAATACATAACATTGATAAAGTTCTTAATATGCAGATAAGTTGATCCTTATTTCCTAATAGATATAAAATATATGATATCTATGAAGATGAAGGCTTGAGGCCAACCACTTGGGTAACATCACCCCAAGATTTCTACCCAGCCCCTCCATCTCCCTACCCTACAGTGGAGACTTCTCCAGCACCATTAAGTATTGTTTTTGAATGATGGATACATGGTTTGAAGCTGTGGAAGTACATGTCTAGTTGATAGGTCACCACCTTGTTTATGCAAATGATGATGGACTAGAGATTGTCAGGTATCCTTCATCCAGCTCACTAACTGTGGCAGAGGAAGGGAGCATCCACTTCTCTCCAGCTGTTCCTCTTGACATGTGGGGGTGGCTTCAGTCCATCATATTGGAACAAATGGTGTTATTTTCAGTTCAGTGAGTGTATATAACTTCCATAGGAAACACAAAATAGCCAATGAAACTTCATAGGGTTATCACCTGTGCATGATTGCAGATTATATTGGATTTAAAAATTTTTTCTTAGTCTCTAAACTTCAATGTGATTGCACATTTCAAATGACTGCACATTTCAGCTATGGGAAAATAATAAATATGTATCATTTAAGAACACAGCATTGGGTCGGGGATTTAGCTCAGCGGTTCTGCCTCGCAAGCGCAGGGTCCTGAGTTTGATTCCCGGTTCCCCCCCCAAAAAAGAAAAAAAACCCCACAGCATCAAGTGCCAGCTGTGGTGGCACAGGTCTGTAATCCTAGCACTAGGGAGGCTGAGGGAGGAGGGTCACTGTGAGTTCAAGGCCAGCATTAACTATGCAGTGAGACTGTCTCAAAACAAACAAACAAAAACAACAATGACAAAAACTCCACAGTACAAATAATTGGATGTTATTTGGGAAGAAACCACCTACCTTTTGTGTATCGCAAACAGTTCCATCTTGTACCCACATCTCATTACTATTGCTATAATTCAGAGGATATTCCAGAGAAACACAGACCTCTCCATTTATGTTGGCATAAATAGTAGTTGCATGTTTGTTTCTGTTTACTTCCATCTTATTATATACACATACTAATTTTCCACACTTCAGATTGCTGTAATTTACACACAGATCAAAATCACTACTCTTAATAAAGACTTGCTTATCATTACAAAAGTAAATAAATTCAAAGAAAACATTCAACATTTTCATAGAACATATGCAGTTAACTTTAAAACACCAAAAATGAGAGCTTCGCCCAAATTGTTAATAACTGAACACTTTAATAATTATGAACTACTTCCAAAAGATTTATCTCCCTATTTATTTTGCTTTTGATTGATAGTTTGAGTTTCTCATATAAGACAATCCATGAAATATTTACACTTTGCTGTCTGATTTATTTCAATTACATCCATCTTCCTACAAATGATTCAAATTTATCTTCCTTTATACCTGAACAGTACTCCATTGTGTATATATGCCACAATTTCTTTATCCACTTTTCTTTCTTTTTTTTTTTTTTCTGGTACTGGGGATTGAACTCAGGTCCTTGTGCTTGCACAGCAGGTGGCGAAACCACTGAGCTAAATCCCCGGCCCTATCCACTTTTCTATAAGCCTATTACACAGCTTCCGAGATTTGCCTATTATGAAGTGTGCTGCTGTCAACATGGGTATGATTGTACCGTGATAGAATGTTTTTAGCTCTTGGAAAGAGGCTTAGAAAGAGGCTAAAAATTGAG